TCTTCCCCAGGCTTCCACCGGCATCATCCATGCCTTGCTTCTGTCTGGCTTTTCCCAGGACTTTGGCTTCTCTTCTCTGTCATCCTCTTTCCTAGCACCCTAGCATCTGTGTCCCTGTGCGTTTACATGGCACCCGGCATCTTGGTTGGGAGGATGTACTCTCCCACCTTGTCCCTGGGCTGAGGTCCATTTCAGGTTCTTGGCATCGTGCCGCTCCATCCCTCCCTGTGCCTACTCAAACCTGCTCATTTGCTTGTGGGTCTGTTCCTGGTTTGATGAAACCTCCTCTTGTTTTCTCCCCTTGTGTTTTCTTTTCTGCCTGTATCTGGGGCTGAGACAGTGACTGCAACCTGTGCTGCTTACGTATGCCCTCTTTGTCAGTCCCTTCTCCACGCTGCCACCGTGTTCTGGGCCCTGAGCTTGTCACAATGCCTGGTCTTCTAGAATCTCTCCTGATCTCGGCTCCTGGGTTGCTGCTCATGTCTTGACGTCCAGCACCTCCTTGCCCTTCCATCTGGGCTCATCTCTCTGAACTTAACCTTCATTTCTCCTTGCCTGGGGTCCATCACCATGCCATTTCCCATCATGGCTCTGGGCCCTCGTGCCCATTCCTGTCCTGCCATTGTCTGCTCCCAATATGACAAGTGTGATTATCAAAAGGCCTATTTTCCAGAGATTTTATAAGACAACCTGCAATTTCCTATCCTTCGATGGGAGAAAGCCTGGTAGTTTGGGAACTAAAGAGAAAAATGTGAATTATTCAGGGGATGCACTTCTTCTTCTCTGGTTCTGCTGGAAGCTGACATCATTAATAAGAAAAGTAAATAATCCTGGAGGTTACAGCAAAATAAAATTTGAACTAAATATGAAAAAGGAACGTTTTGCACTCAATCAGCCCTTTGCTGTTTGTGTTAGTTTCTTATTGCTGTTGTCACAAATTAGGCGGACTTAGTGGCTAAAAACAACACAGGTTTATAACCTTGCAGTGGTGGAGATGAGAAGTCAGAAATGGCTCTTCCAGGGCTACAGGGAGGTATTGGTTGGGCTGCATTCAGTCTGGAGGTTCTAGAGGAAAATTCACTCCCTTACCTTCTGGAAGCTGCCTGCATTCTTTGGCTCATGGCTCCTTCCTCCATCATTAAGCCGTCAGTTAATGTCACTCTGTCAATCAATTTAATCAAAGTTCATTTCGTCAGGATATGGACATTTTAGGGAGCCATTATCCTGTGTAACCCACTTTTCATGGTAAATTTGGAGAGCTCTGCTCCCGCCAGAATACTCCTTTATGTGCTGTTTTGTACCCCTTCTCATTTATCCATCATGATAATGTCATAAAGGGGGCACCAATATCAAATCCATCGTAGGTATGAAGAAATCAAAGCTAAGAGAAATGAAATCACAACCCAAGGCTGCACATATTGGACATTTGCTTGCATTTGTCTTATCATTTCCTATCCTGTCTTTCCCTACCTCTAGCCCTGCCCTCTCTCTGAAGTACCTAGCCTCCTGGGAACTCACCTGTGACCCCTGAGGGACCAGCCACATCCAGGAGAGAGTCTGCCTGGGCTTAGAGAACAATGGTGGCCCAGGAGTTTTATATCAGATTGGTTTGTTTGTTTATTTATCAGCACATTTTTTCCCTGGATTTTTAAAAAAAAATTTTTTTAATGTTTATTTTTGAGACAGAGAGAGACAGAGCATGAATGGGGGGAGGGTCCAAGAGAGAGGGAGACACGGGATCTGAAACAGGCTCCAGGCTCTGAGCTGTCAGCACAGAGCCTGATGCGGGTCTCGAACTCACGGACTGTGAGATCATGACCTGAGCCGAAGTTGGACACTTAACTGACTGAGCCACCCAGGGGCCCCTCCTTGGATGTTTATATACTTCTTTATCCTTAGCATCCAATATTTTTATGAAGTAAAATGTGTACCTCAATTGTTGTGGTCTTCATAAATTCTATCAAGTAGATAATAGGCCATTTCAGTCTGAAGATTTAGGTCTTATTTTCACCGAGGAAAGTGAGCTGATAGATGTTGGGGTATGATTTGATTTCCGTTCCCTCAGCTTCTGTCTTCAGGAGTACCAGTTATTCACCTGGTGCTTCCTGGTCTGGTGTCTGTTTTCTTTGTCAGTTTGCCTTCCTCCTGTCCTTTTATCTGTGCCTTTTTTTGTGATCCGCCTGCCCAACACCCCCCCCCCCATCGCTGTTTTTATACACTGTTGATTCTGCTGTTCACTTCTTGTGCCCTTGTGAATCCTGCAAATGGCATCGTTTGTTTCCCATAATTCTTTTGAGGTTGATTTTCTTTCTTCGTACTTTTCCTTCTCCACTCACCTCTTGAGTCATGGTCTGTAGAGTTCGTGTGCTGGCCTTGCTCTCGGTGTCTCCCTTCTTATCCCCCCACATTTCTTCACTGTTCAAAGCATTGGGGGTCAGAGGAAAAGCTCTGTGTCTGATGAGCTGTCTTGTCGGGACCTGTGCATTTTTGCTTGTTCCCCCTCACACAACATCCCTTTGTTTACCCTGTCTGTGCCTTTTTTTTTTTTTTTTTTTTTTTTTTTTTTGTCCTCAGCTAAGAAATTGGTGGCAAATAGGTGGATCTTGGCTATGCCTGTTACCCACCGTCTTCCACATTTGGAAATGAGGGGGTGAAGGGTGGGGGAGTAGTCACCCCTCATCTGAACAACACATGGTATCTGTAGGCCATGCTCTGCCGCCAGGTGGCCTTTCAGATCCCAGCTCTGCCACTTGCAAGCTGTGCCAGCCCAGGCAGGTAGGTGCTTCTCTGAGCCTCAGTTTCCTCCCATAAACAGTGGAGGTAATAGGTCATGATCTCACGAGCCCTGTGTCCAGCTCTGTGCTGACAGCTCAGAGCCTGGAGCCTGCCTCAGATTCTCCGTCTCCCTCTGCCCCTTCCCTGCTTGTGCATTGTCCCTCTCAAATATAAACGTTAAAAATTTTTTTTTAAAAAGAAAAGAAGAGATCAAAGTGTTAATGATGATATAAGTCAGTTAGATTAGAAAATACCCAGAGCCTTGTCACTCCCTTTCCAGGTCTGAAGGGCCTGCTCAGTAGTGAGGAAAATGGGCTAAATTTTTTGGCGACTCATCTCTTCTGAGGCCTTTCCCTGGGTTCAGCCAACGTTTCCTCAAATGAGGACACATTCCTGGCATTTGCCAGAATGCCCTCTACTTCCTCCCTGCACTGTTTTGGGAGAGGGAATTGTGTCTGGTGTCTGGTCAGTTCTCATGGTGTGAGCAGGTTGTTCCAACTCTTGCAAAAGCGTGTCAGAGCATGCGGCAGGAGGTGGGCATACTCAGCCCTGATGAGTGCTCCCTTCGGTGGATGCCTTGTATCGTTCTTGTTCGGCCGTCTTGCTTACTTTCTGGAATGGGAGGGGGTTATGGCTGCCCCTCACACTGCCATGCTTTTACAAAAAACCCACTTATTTTATTACTTTCAAGTATAAAAGCCATATTTGAGGCAGAAAGTCCAGAGAATGCCAAAAGGTAAAAAAGAAGAAAACCATCACCTGCAGTCTCCCTGTCCAGCCTGGAGCCAGTCAGATCGAGGCCTTGGTTTCTCTGTGTTTCTTGGCTTTTTGCTCACTGCCCTCCCCTGCCATCTCATTCCCTTGGGACAGCTGAGCACAGTAGCTCTACCCTCTCTCATATCCCAGTCCTGACATCACTGATGGGGCCGTGGATGGATGGAAGCAGGTCACAAGTATGCTGGAAGCATCTACTTTGGACAGGAAGTAAAGATTGCTTCATGGAAGTTTCCGGGCATGGAGGATGCCATAAGTCCTAAGGTTTTCTGAAATCCAACTAGACAATTAAAGCACTCAATTTTACTTTGGGAAAAGAAAATTAAATAAAGGCAGGGAGGATGGGGTCTTGGTGAAAAGACGCTTGACCTGAAGTTGGAAAAGCTGGCTAAGGGACTTCCTGGCTCTGCCTGTTTACTCAGCCACACAGACATTTGGATTCTGCTAAGAAGAGCAGTAATAATACACATGTCACACAAGGTTGGGAGGATTAAGAAGGAGGTTCAGGCTCTGGCTCATAGTAGATGCTTAATAAATATTCACACAAGCTGCCTCCTCACGCACGAGCCTTACCAGTTATCTTAACTTGCTGCTGTTGAAGGGTCTCATTCAAACTCAGAATATCACACCTGAGATGTAGCATGGTGCAGACAGAAATGCTTGTGCATCCATCTTGATTCTAGAAACGTTTACCAAGTCTGGAGGTCGGGCACGGTGCTGTAGATGCAAGGGGCAAAGTCATGCCCTTGGGGAGCTCATAGTCTAGTCTCCAGTGGGAAACGTGTGTAAGCAAAAATGCATGGAAGGTTTGCACCATACAAAAGAGAGTGACTAGCTTCCAGAAGGTGGTATGACAGGGGAACTTGCTAGAGATGGCGATGGGCTGAGCATAGGTTTTTCAGGGTGAGGGAGTGTCCCCAGGCAGGCAGAAGGTTCCGGGCAGGGGAAACAGCAAATGCCAAGGAGGAGACATGCCAGGAAGCCCCCATCCACACCATGCCTGGGGACACAGATAGCCTGTGTGTGGTTATCAGGGCACCAGCCATGGAGCTGGGGGCCAGGCTGTTTGTCACTTGAGGGCCTATATTTTCAGGAACCTACCTGAATCTGTCTTTGGGGGAACCCTGTGGGCTCTGCTTAAGAGATGAAGGAAAATGGGAGGAAGGCAGGCAAGTGCCAACCTTAGACGCAGGCCAAGCAAGGAACCAAGGTGTTGAGAGAAGGCCTGTGCCCTGTATTGCCATTAGGCACCTGCATTCTTGAATCGGCTCCCTAACGAAGTTTATACCTGCATTAGATCACTTGCAAAAGCCAGCCACGGAGACCCCTCCTTATGGAAAGCCTTGGCCCCAGGGGTGTGGGGACAGTTGGGGCTTCCCAGCTGGAGGTCACCTGGTGCCCTGTGATGATATGGTTTCTGCTCTCCCCCCCTCCCTACCTCTGTCCTGCAGCAATGGAATGGCAGGGACACGGCCCTCATGGTCACCCGGGTGGTCAACCACAGACGCTTCTCAGCCACGGTCAGTGTGGCGGACACTGCCCAGCGGAGCGTGAGCAAGTACCGCTGTGTGATCCGTTCTGACGGCGGCTCTGGTGTGTCCAACTACGCTGAGCTGATTGTGAAAGGTGAGTGCCCCCAGCGCGTGCTTCTCCCACAGGCCTGATTTCAGGGGCTGCTATGGCCCCATCCTCAGACGGTGCAAGGAACTGAGGTGCCTGTTCTCATCTCCTGCTCCTCCTTCCTGTTATTTGAAGGACACAAGATTTCCAGTCCCCCATTCCCACACTCTGCAAAGAAAGAAGTGAAGTTACTGTAAAATCATGGAATTTTGCATTATTCTTCCAAGTTGAGTCTTACTCATAAGGTCCACCTGTGGAAGCCTGTGGGTCTATAACATGGAAGACATCTCCAAATTTGGCTTTATTTTGCATTTAAAGTTAGAATGAGCCAATGTCCTTGTGTTTTGGTTGTGTTCTATTGCCGTGTTCAGAGAATAGAATTATTTCTGAGGGATTGTTTATTGAAAATTCGATGTAATGACAATATTTCAGAAGGAGTTCTGAAATAACCCCCACCCTACTGGCCTTGATTCAATTCTTTTCAATTTTCTTGTTCTTGTTCACCTTGAGGTATTGTTGACATGCTTTACATTAAAATATGCACATTGCTTCCTTTTCTGCTTCCTCCAAGGAGCCGGATATCACATTTATTTTTGAAAGCCTGTATAATCTTTGTTTTAATGCTTAATGGTTGTATACTATTTCATCAAGTGAATCCTCCCATTTCTTAAAACCTCCCTATTTGTAGTCATTTAGGTAATTCCAGGTGTTTTCGTTTTTGTTTTATCTTGCCTTTGTGCATCAATTAACACCTCAATGGAGTTCTTCCAAAAGAGAACATTTTTATTCCATTGAACCAGATTATTTCCTTGGATAAATTCCCTAGGGGTAGAGTTGGTGGGGCCAAAGAATATGAGCATCTTTATGGATTTTTCTTTGTGTCGTAATACTGCTTTTGCAAAAAGTGGTTTGACAGTTTACCCTGGAAAAAAGTAGTGTATGGATGTACTCATTTTCCAGCATTACGTTCACAGATTAAAATTTTAATATAGCATAATTTAGTGAATGAAATAATGAACCTATTCATCTTCTGCTAGCTGTAGAATGATACCCGGGGTGTATGAAAGTGAAAACCTGGATCGACTCCCTAGAAGTCTCCTGAGTTGGTTTTCTGGGACAAAGTATGGGTTGGGGTGAGGGCCTTGACCTCTATTTGCTGGACCCCATGTAACCGATAGCCTTGCCTGAACCTAGATTGGGGGTTGCAGTCTGAGAGTTTCTCTCCTGGGCTGTCCTGACTCTAGATGGATATTCACACAGCTGACCGATTGTTATCATTCAGGTCTTAGCTTGAACATCCTCATGCCATCTTCTCTGAGAGAATGTCCCCAGCCCTTGTGCTGCTGGGTGCTCTCTGTCACGTCACCTTGTGTACGTGTGATAAAGTCCTTATCACACTTTAAAATTTTATTTTTCCTTTATTCGTGTTCTTGGTAGTTCTCCATCTTGCCCTTTAGAAGACGAGCTCTGTGAGAATCGAGGCATTTTTCGTTTTGTTCATGGTTCACGAGGTCCCCAGACTTAGCCACGGGCATGGCAAGTGCCGAGTTTGCCCAAATACAAAACTGCTAGTGTTCAACTGTTTTGACCTGCGCGGTTGGTCATTTCGAAAGGCTCAACCTTAAAATACTTATTGAATGATGGATGCGTAAATGAGTTATTGGCCTCAGCAGGAACTCATTTCATCTCCACAATGCAATGTACACTTAAGCTGAAGATCAACAAATTAGGCAGTCATGAACAGAACAATCAACAGAGGGAAAAATCATCTTAAAATCATTGACATTGAGTGCCATTAATACATAAAAGAAAGCACCATTTCAATCACATTAGGCTCATATGTCTGCTGTTTTGGTGCCATAAGATTGATTTTGGTAACACAGTGGCCTCTGCAGGCCTTTCAGGCACTAGGTGAATATGTAATTTCCTGAGCCGCCCCCTGCAGAAGTTCATTATATCCCTCCTGTGGCAGCCTCCTGCTCTGCGGTGGGGACCCACCAGAGAACAGACTGTGTTTGCTCATGCTTTCTCTCCACGGCCTTGCCCACACCTTGCAGGTGCCTGGCACCAGGCCGGTAAGGAGGTAACAGGATGAGTGAGTGGGGCAGCTAGTGTAGCACTCTGATCTTTTTGCACAATTGGAATCAGAAAGTGCTTGGTTTATTCTTCCTTTCCCAGTTGTGGAGGAGGAGATGTGGGTTACCAAAGTCCCAAAGCCTTTGGGACTGAGGATAGCATCTCCATGGGGAAGCATCATTGCCTTGGTTTGAAAGGGTGGTCAGGGTTCATTGGGACAGTGACTGATCCTTTGTGGGCTGTGCATGGGCTGGGGTTCGGGCTTCTGGGGGAACAGTGCACTGGCCACGTTTCTCACTATGATCCAGGAGCCCTGCTGCCCCCAGTGCCTTCACCTACAGTGCTCACTGTTCTCTTTTCAGGGACGTGCTGGGTGTCCTCCTTCAGAGGTCTCCTTCACAGTGCGCCTTCTCTGCAACCTGCTCCCCTCTTATTACATCTTGAGAAAGGCTTTTGTGGCGGGTGCCTGGGTGGCTCAGTCAGTTAAGTGTCTGACTCTTGATCTTGGCTCGAGTCATGATCTCACAGTTCCTGAGTTCAAGCCCCACATCAGGCTCTGAGCTGACAGCACGGAGCCTGCTTGGGATTCTGTCTCTCCTTCTCTCTCCCCTTCCCCCAATAACACAAGTGCTCTCGTGTGCACATGCTCGCTCTCGCTCTCTCAAACTTTTGAAAAACAAAGAAAACCTTTTGGGATAGCACTTGTTTGTAGCGACCATTATTTTTCCTTTTTTTAGTTGGTGGCAAGCTAGAAGCTGAGCCCCTTGAATGTAGAAGTCATTTCACATATGTGATCTCATTTAGTCCTAACTATGGCACTGTACCTTAGTTTTATTTTAATTCATTTTACAGCGGGGAGAACAACCACAGCCAGGTTGAGAGACTGTCCTAAGGGGCAGAGCTGGGGTTCCGCTGGGTGTTGGCTCATGCTATTTCAGCCGTCTTTGGACGGCCTCAGGGTTGTGACCTTGTTGGCACCTGGTGTCATGATGTCAAAAACAGTGTTGAAGGCAACCAGACTGCATGCAAACTCATGACAAGAGTCTCTGGAGCTGCTGTTAACTTGGCCTTTTAACTCCTGCTTTCTCCATCACTGCTCCCCTCCTCTCTGGAGTGGAGTACTTACTACCTTCCAGATTCCAGGGGAAATGGATTTAATCCTTTTTACCCACACACTCCTAAATAGCTAACGGTTCCCAAGCCAAGTAAAATGAAAAGCAGGGGACACCCACAAGCAGCAGTGATGTCTGGCCAGGAACCCATGTGAAGGCAGCATCTGGGGGAAAGTGTCCTGTGACTTACTGGCCTCTTGGAGCCCCTGGCCATGACTGAGCAGGATGGCTAGATACTTTAGTACTGAAATATTTGCACTTAAAAAAAAAAAAGTAGGGGCACCTGGGTGGCTCAGTCGGTTAAGTGTTCGACTTCGGCTCCAGTCATGATCTCGCGGTTTGTGGGTTTGAGCCCCGTGTCGGGCTCTGTGCTGACAGCTCAGAGCCTGGAGCCTCCTTCGGATTCTGTGTGTTCCTCTCTCTCTCTGCCCCTCCCCTACTCACACTCTGTGTCTCTCTCCTTCAAAAATAAATAAACGTTAAAAAAAATTAAAAAAAAAAGGAATAAACATAAATCTTCCTTCTTTCAGGGAATGGAGAAAATTTGAGAAGACAAAAGTATTTTCAAGGGCTAAGTCTTGTCTTAGGGGATGGCGCTCCCCAAATGTACCTTCCTGTTCCTGGTTTACACATCACACAGATGGTGTGTGCTGAGGGGGAGGCAGCTGACCCCTGCCATGCCACGTGTCGTAGAAGGAAAACCAGCCCTGGGCACATTTTCCCCCAGGTTTTCTTCATTTTATTCCAGTTCAGACACAGGAAAGTGCCCTGATGCATGGGTTCAAATCCAGGCCTATGTTGTCCCAGCGCTATGACCTTGAACATCAGCCTCTTTCGATAAAGCTGGCTCATCTGGGAATAGAGATGTAGGATTACCTACCTCAGAGTGGTGTGTGTCCAGCCAGAGGATTCAATGAGACAATGGATGTAGAAGTTCTTAGAACAGTGCCTGGCTTGTTGCCCTTAGAAGTGTTTGTTAAATAAACAGTCGTGGTTCATGTGATTTCCCAGGTAAGAGAGTAAGAGATGGTGAAGGACTGGGTGGGTGTGTGGGGATAGGACGCATGACCCAGTGGTGGTTTGATTGCTGTCTCTGTGGCCTTGGAGAAATCATGTAAGGTCTCCTCTGCAAAGGGAGACTGGTGGTCTCTCCCCATAGAGTCATGTGCTGATCATGGGGAAAGGGAGGGAGGAGATATAAAAGTGGGTGCTGACATGTGGGCTTGTTTGGGTTGACAAGTTTGGGTCATGGATCATGGGGTTTGGGTCATGGGGTCCATGCTAGGTCAGATGCCCCAGGTCCCCTCCTGTGTCCACCACTGGTGAGCTAGGAATCTTGGGAGAAAGGAAAAGTAGCTGGTCCTTCTTGCGCTCAACCATCTGACCACATGGCAGCACTCGTTCAGAACTCAGGCCATCCTGCATTTGGGAGGTCACAGGGCCCCTCAGTGCCCAAGGGTGCCCAGAGATGGGTGGAGCGCCCTCTGACAGTGTCCATAGCAGGTGTGTGCACCGTGCCAAGTAATGTCTCTGTCTAAATAGGTGTGTTTATGGCTGGCTGGCTTGTGCTTCATGTGCTATCCCAGGATTGTGAGCATCAGCACTTCAGAAGATACCACCTAATTTGAGTGTAGGTAATATCAAATTCTCAGGGCAACACAGATCAAAATGAAAGCAAATTGGAATTACTTAATTCTGAAGAGCTGTTTATTGAATTGTGATAATGTACCTGGGTATACATTAGATTACTCTATAATTGAGGTTTTGCACAATTGATAGTCCAGTCCCTCAACCTGCCTGTTCCGGACCAGTGCTCAC